CTCTGCGAAGCGCATGGAACAAAATATGGATAGCACCACCATTACCGGGTGGGTGGACCCAGCCCCACGCCTCCGTCTCCTACAGGGCCGATTGGATCGTGCTATGTCCGAGGAAGCAAAGGATAAGCTTCGTGAGCGCATCTCAAAACTGAACCAAACCTTTGCCGTTATTCGCGTGGGTGGGCGCTCATCAGTGGAGATCAGCGAATCCAAAGATCGTGTGATTGATGCTCTCAATGCCTCGCGCAACGCATTGGCGGAGGGAATTGTCGCAGGTGGTGGGGCCGCTCTTCTTCATGCCTCAAAGGAGCTGGATAAGATTCTTCAGGCTGACGAGGAAATGGAACAGGATCGGCGAACAGGCGTAATTATTGTGCGAAATGCGGCGCGTCTTCCGATGAAACGCATCAGCGAAAATGCAGGTGAAGAGGGCGCAGTCACAGTGGAAAATGTTGCTGAGTATAAAGATAGCTGTATGGGCTACGATGCTCAGAATGATCGTTACGTTGACATGTTTGAAGCAGGCATCATCGACCCTGTAAAAGTAGTCACCTCGTGTGTAGTTGATGCGGCGTCGGTGGCCGGTCTGATGATCACCACAGAGGCCAGTGTATGTGATTACCAGACAGAATAAGAGAAGGGAGGAAACGGCGGGGGTAATCCTCAGTCTGGTAATAAACGGCAATGCGACAGCGGGTGGTATCGATAGTAGATGTTGCCAATAAGAGGGACAAGCGACGGGGGAGAGAACAAAGATGACAATGATGATAGCTGTGTTTGTGTGTGTGTGTGTGTGTGTCATGGGAGAGTGGCTTTGCTCACAGTTCAAAACATATATATATATATATATATATATATATCTTTTGTTGTCGTTGTTCTTCTTGTGTCAATGGCAAGGCAGACGCGTTTTCCGTGAGTGAGCGAAAACGGTGGTACGGGAGGAGGTGTTGGGGACGTTCTTTTATGTGCATGGAAATGTCTCACTGTCATCTTTACACTTTTTTTTTTTTTTTTTTTTTTTTGCTGTGGAGAAATAAAGCCGAGGGAGTTTCGGCTTTTGTGAAATTGTATAGGGTAGGGGAGAAATGTTGCGGCTAACGCGTCTCTTTCGCGAGATGGCTCCAGAGCTGCAGCTGGAGTACGTACCGTTGCTGTTCACACGGACCATCCTTGGACCAAATGGTGGTTTTGCCGGTGAGGAACGTCTTGTGAAACTCGAGATGGCACGAAAATACATCGAGGATGGTCACGCCGTGACGCCTACGGAGGAACTTCGACAAGGGCTTTGGTGTTTTAACCCTGACACAAATCAATATGATCGTTTTATAGAGCGCAATGAAGAGTTTCTGGACTTTGCCGCACGCAAGAGACAGTGGCTTGATGTTTACTGGCGAGTAAACACAGGATATCTCTTGTTTGGACGACAGTCATGGGGTCAAGGCTTTCTTATCAACTGCCCACTGCGAAAAAGGGATGTGGCACAGAAGCTTTGGGAGCAGTACAAAGTCCGTGTTGATCCCAGACTCATCGAATTTCGTGAGAAGGACCGTCGTACGGGGATTCAAGATCTGGGCCACAACTGGTGTTGGCTGTATTTGCCTGGAGCAGAGGAGTTGGGCATTGATCGGGAGGTCTATGACAACAAGCGGGTGAAAGTACGAATGCACATACGCAAAATGACATCTTTTTACTCCCTTTACTGATGAATGATGATGGGGATGAAGGTCGGTCATTTATTTTTTCTCTAAGTGACCCGATTTGTTTGCGTTACCGCTTTTTTCGAGAATTGTAGCGTGACTGGATGCTTATTTTGACTTTTATTTTCCTTCTAATGCGTGCTGCCAGGGCTGTTGAGCCTGTGATCTTTTAGTTTTTTATTTTATTATTTTTTTTTTTTGCTTGTCGGTTTCTGACAGTAACGAGGAACAGAAGGCGAGATTACGCTTGTTTGGCATTATTATCTGTATATTTATAGCGGCAATATTGAGGAGTGGATATTACGAGAGAAAGGGTCGAGTGATGATTAGAGCACTGCAGAAGCGGGTTTTATTCTCTTCATTGGTTCTAATGGAGCCACGGAATTACATGTGCACCACACGCCGCACACAAGACAAGGCGAACAAGTCCGCAATGGATCAAGAAGACAAGGAGGAGCTGGAGCGGGAACGACACCTGCGTGAACGCTTTTCGCAAAAGATCCAAGAGGCCATGCCGCAATACGCGCAGCAGGGCCCTGAGAGTTGTAGCAGCGGGACGTGCGGCGCTCAACAGACCCCTTCTTCCATGATGTTTTTTCGGTTTATGTTTTTTTTGACCTCGCTGCTTCTTCTTATGGCCCTTTTACAAGTCAGCGACAAAAATTCCCCTTTTAACATCATGCAGAACATTCCTTGGTGGCAGCTGCCCCTTTCCTCCGTGTCGTACTTTACGCTTATGCGGGCCTTGCTACCGTACAGAGAGCAGCGGCGGATAAAGGAGGAATATGAGGTTGCATCGAGATTGAATCCAAAACTCACGCTTGATCAGTTCTTTGCTCAGCGCTATCCTAACATGTTTCAAGGCTACCAAACACAGCAGCAGGAAGTTGTGGCAGCCGTTTCTGCGTGTCTCGCATCGGCCAATGACTTGAATTTTGTTAGAACCATATCGCGTGCGGCCGGGTCGGCAAGAGATATCAGGGCCTCCGTCGACAACATCATTGGCACGCTGAAGCGGGAGTATCCACACCTCTTTCAGAATACCGGAGCCCCGCCGTTCTCTTCTGTGGGAGTGTAGCCTTGAAAAACAAAACGAAACAAAAAAAAAAAAAGAAGAAGGCTCCAAATGCGATTGGCAGTATTTGTTGTTGTTATTTTTTTTTTTTTTTACAAAAAAAAACACTAAAAAATATATATTGCTGCTGTTTTCATCTGGTTGTCTTGTACATTGGATGCGGGAAAAGGAACAAATATAGTGCCATGGCCTTTCCATTGAGGAAGAAAAAATATTTTACTTGTGCGTTCATACTGACACCGACGCAAAAAAAGAAGAAAAAAAAAATGCTGCATTGCATTGGTTTGCCACCACAATAATATTTTTTTAATGTTTCTTATCTTTCCGATTTTTTTTTTTTTTTTCTTTGCGTGTCCGCGTGTTTTCAGTTTCAATTAGCGATGGAATACGCCAAGATGCCAAGTGTTCCGAGTGCGATGAGGGAGAAAAATGTGAAGGTGGTGGAAAAAGGGCCAGGTAATGACCATTTACATTTTATATATCACTGGTTGGATTCCAAAGATCCTAAAGGAGCACGATGGCGTATTGAAAACATTTATTGGAATGGATGGCGTGCATTTTTTGTGGGCTTTGCTCTATTTGGTGCGGGCATCACGTTTCTGGCGTTGGGTTTGGCTTGCTTACGAATTGTGGGAGACAATCCACGTGGTTGTGCTTTGCTCATTTTGGGAGGTATGCTGAGTCTTCCGGGCCTGTACAGTCTGACGGTGTTATGGTACTATGTGCGTGGCAACAGGAATTACTCCTACAACCAACTACTTTTTGAGTAGCCGTGTTCATCACGGGTGATCAGAAGCAAACACACATATACACGCAGCTTAAATTGTGCAGAGAAATTTGCTGGATATTTTGACAACGGAAATGAATATCCTTATTTTTGAGTAAGCACCTAGTGGCTGCGTAGAATTAGCGCCATATTGATAGCATTTAAGACTGCTTTTCCATTTTACTCTTATTTTTTTGTTAACTGATATTTTGCTTCCTTTCGACATTTTTTCCCTCTTATAATTTTAATGGTCAAACACAGTAGAAAATACAAAGAACACACATAGGGGCACAGAGTAGCATCCTGTGCCAGAAGAAAGAAGGCGCAAAAAGGGAAAAGGTGCAGTCACAAGGTGCTGCGCTCTGTCTGCTCACGCTCTCCTCTCAGGCATCCGCGCCCCACGAGAAGAACGAGGACACACGCACACATACACGCATTTTGGCGCGTGTGCTTTTGTCATGAAGAAGCCAACCGTTGCTGTTGACTTGGAGGCATTTCTCCGTGCGTCGTTTCCGTCGCGCCGCGATTTTTTCACAACCGAGGACGCCACCCGTGCGCTTGCTGATTACACGGGAGCATCATTTTGGGAAACGTCTCTGGTGGTGGACATGCGTCAGTCACACCACACCATGGAACAGATGCAAACATACGCGACGCGAATAGCTGGGGGAAGGCGGGGAAACGGTGAGGAGGGCCCCCGCATGACAGCGATGCTGCCGGGAATTCAGGACTCACATGGAGGCAAAGAAGCCGCGTGGGAAAGTGGCGACGGTTCGGTCCGCTCCCTGCCCGTCAAGCCGTGCGTGGAGCGAAACAGAAAGACATGCAAGCAGTTTTGGGAAAATGGTGCGTGCAAGTTTGGTTCACGGTGTCTCTATCATCACTTGGCACCCTCGCAGGGGCATTTGGCTGACCCGAGTGTGACGAAGGCATCCCTCGGCCACTGTTTTGGCATCGCGAACCGATGCGTGGAAGAGCTACCAAAGCCCAATGTCTCTGGCGGACCATCGGATTTGAATTCAAAGGAAGGGAACCGTGAGGTGCTGGCTGCCCTGCCATCATCCGCCAACAACTACTCCTCCTCGGCTCCAAGGTCACACAGTGGGGCTCTGAGGGCCACGACAGCAATGCCGCAGGAACCCCCAAAGCCGCTTGGCGGGACGGCGTGTCCGGTGTTTGCGGCCTTTGGCGGGGTTGTTGTGCTTCCGGTTTCGCTGCCGGATGGATCTATATGCGGCTACGCCCCTTTCCCACTGCAGATGCCACTTGTTCGATTTCCTCGTCCATAAGCCGTTCGGTTTATATTTTTTTATTGCCTATTTTGTTTCTGGGTCCATGGTGTTTTGTTTATTTGTCGATTTTCTCCGCATAGGGGAGGAAGAAGGAAGCGGGCGCTTCCAGTTTATTTCTTAATTTTTTGAGGTTCACTTTTTGTTGCTTTGGGGGTGGTTATCTTTGAGATGAACAGATGGCGGCGCATATGTGTGATGCCTACAGAGCGCCGAGAGTAACAGGGCGGGGTGCCGCCGCGATCTTTTTTCTGGCTGCGTTACTTGTGATGACAGAGTCCGAAACGGAGAGGGACGGCATATTTTGTGATGTGCTCTTGTTGCTATTGCTCCTCTCGCACCCCCACCCTTCCGTTTCTCTCTCCCGGTGTGTGGGAACAGGCGTGATCATTGTAGGAGTGGGGATGCTGCAGGGCACTGGCAGACGTCTGTTTTCAACGTTCGCACTGAACCCCGAGACCACCGTCGCACCGCACGGTCCTCCGCGCGGTCTCATCAATCGATATGTGTCCATGGGGCTCCCCCCGTGGGCGGCGTGGTGCAACAAAGTCAATCGCTATTCGCTTTACCGTATGAGTGGCGTGGCCCCGCGCACCCTTCTGCCAAAGGCCCCGCATGAAATGGATGTCATTTGGCTTAATGAGCGCGTTCGAGAGCGAGTACGAACCTCTCGAGGGGTTCAGAACGTCTATCGGCAACTGAAGTACCCTTACGTGAAGACCGGCATACACTACAGTGACGTGCTGTGCCACTGGGTGCAGGTGCCCATGGTGGAGGCGGCGATGTTTGAGGTTGAGAAGGACGGCGGTTTTGACAACTTCGTCTTGAAGCGATCTGGACCCGAGTTGCGCTCAACATACGGGGAGCGGGTCCGGCGGCACATTTTGGTGCGGCAAAAGGAGATTCGGAAGAATTTTGTTTTGGACCAGCAAGCGAAGCACCTGGCGGATGCCATTTGCGGGGAGGTCCTGTCCTTGCGGGATGAAAGTGCAGCTGAGGCGGTGCTGGCGAAGTACGGGATTGAGAAGAAACGATTCCTGGAGGAGCTGGCGCGTATCGTCGTCGCGCGAAAGGAGAAGGCGAATGCTGTAGCCGTGACGGCGGAGGAGCCATTGCCATGAGACGGTGGCGACGGAGGAAGGAATGGTGGTGGAGGGGAAGAAATTGGGTGGTAGAGAGGCGAAGGGGCCCTTCTTGTCCTCGCATGCGTGGGGATGGATAACTCATGGGATGTTTTTGCTGCTGTTGCTGCCTATGCCTCTTTGTTTTTGTTCTCTCTGGACGCATTTGCATGCATGCTGTTGCTGCCCATCCGGGCCTCTCCGTCTTTCTCCTGGGCAAGTAGAAAGGCACGCGAAGGGAATTGTGCAGCAAATGCGCCGGACGTTACGTCATGGCTACCATGCCTACGTTCCAAAGGGCGCGCTTCTCAAAACAGACATGCTCGCATCTTCGCCCCAATTGGTGACGGCCGTGTTCCGTGAGACGGAGGCCGCGGCAGAACGTGCGGACAGGGCGAATGATGATGCAGGCTTTTTTAGCCGACCTCGACTGAACTATCCAGTCGCGTCCGGCATTCCGGCATTTATCTCCAGGCGACAGTTCGATGTGCAGTACAATATCTTTCACCACGATGCGGTGGAGACGCTCAACCGGCACACATTAGGCACCTCACTGGAGGGGCACAGTCTTGAGACCGTCATACGTAGAACGTCGTTTGATGCCACGCAGGCAGCAGCGCACACCGCGGCGGCCGAGCACTTCAACTATTGTTTCTTTTACAAGTCGCTTCGGCCATGGGGAACGGCGGTACCAAAACAACTTCGCGAGGCTTTTCAGTTGCAATACGGCCGCGACGGATCGGTAGATGTGGTGGAGGAGGTGAAGCGGCTGTTAACGGTCGTGGTTCTCTCGCACCAAGAGCGTTGTGGTTGGGTTTACCTTGTCTGGACAGGAAAGCAGTTTGATGTCGTGGAGTTTCCTCACGGTGCGTGCCCCATTGGCAGTGATCTCATCCCACTCCTGGCGATTAACGTGCATGAAGGCGCCTATTCCCTCGACTACGGTCTTTCGGGACTGGAGCAATACGCACAAAACTACTTTAGGGCGTGCAATTGGTTCCTCGCTGAACGATATTACTTGCAGGCGACGGGGAGGGGGTCGAGTTGCGATGCATGAACGCGTCTGGTTGAGGGGAGGTCATGCCGCAAATAGCTTCCGTTTTTTTGTTGTTCTCCATGCTTTCTCCTCTCTTGACTTTTCCCGCGTCCGTGTCACAACAAGGGAGAGAGGGTTGGGGGGAGTCTGTGCTGTGCGTGTCTTTTTCCCTCTCTCATTGTTGTGGAGTTCACTTTTCCCTTTTTTCTGTCATGTGCCTTGTTCTCTCTTTTTTTTGTGTGCACGCACGCACATTTTTTTACTGCTATGCATGGCATTTTAGGTTTTCGCATTACATTCAATCGTCCGTTCTTCCAACTGCCAAAATGGGGTCTCCTAAGATCGTGTACTCCGCCCTCATAAGGAACACCACCACGATTTCTGTGACGGTGCTTGTCACCTATTCCATGCCGAACGAAATGCCCCAGGAAACTGTGCAATTGCTCATTCCACCAGGCGAAGAAAAGGAAGCGCCCCAGAAATTGGTGGAGGACGGTACAGTAACCTGGACAGGCTTTATTAGCAAGGTTGCCGTTGAGGGTGGGCAGTCTATGAGTGCTCCTTTCCTGGGAGTGGAATCTCCTACGAGAAAATACGGTTTTGAAGTTTACATGCAAGTCGGCATGCTGCGGCTATTAGCATTGGGCCCTGTCGAATCAAGCAGTGATTGAATGTCAATGCATTATTTTTGGTTTTGATTTTCTTAACGCATATTTTGTTTTAAAATATTTTGTTGTATTAGTAGTGGAAGCGTGCATGTTGGTATAAAAGTTGTTTGAAATATAGATAAGTTAATAATTGTGTCGTATTCCTGCCGTGATACTAGATGCATGCATTGATTTCCCTTTCTAGGAGCTTGCGAAGAGAAATTTCGCGGGGTAAGCGGGGTATCTAATTTGATATTTATGTATCCCGATAAAGCTAACTCTGTACGACCTTTTTTTCCTACTTTATGTTTTTTTGGCTGATCGCGATTCTAGAAAACAGGGATCCAATAACGTCTAGAGGACTTCAATTATTTCATTTTTATTTTTACTTGGTGCGAAACTTTGAGGATGAATCGTGTCCAATATTGTTTCGTTCGTTCCTTTATTATACCCACTTTGTTTGGTTACCACTATTGGCAAATTCAGGATCTGGCTAGCGGCCCAGGTGCACATTCTGCATCTGTATTATTTCCGAGCGTGTTTGTTTCTGTAAAGCGCTTAACGAGCATATATAAATATAAATAAATATATTTGCGTGTGGGTGTGCAATTTCTCTTGTTGTCTTCTTCCTCTCATCTTTGGTTCTGCGCAAGCGACCGCTCCAGCCACAACGAAGACATCCCCCCACAATGTCCTCCCGTCAAGGCGGCAAGCAGAAGCCTCTCAAGGCTCCCAAGAAGGAGCGCCTGGATGACGACGAGGCGGACATTGCTTTTAAACAAAGGATGCGTGAACAGCAGAGGGCCGAGAAGGAGGCCATCGCTAAGCTTAAGGGCGGCAGGAAGTAAAGGACTCCTTCCATGGCCCATGGATGCACGCAACGAGGACAGCGAGAGATAAGGCGCAAAAAGGGAAAAGGTGCAGTCACAAGGTGCCGCGCTCTGTCTGCTCACGCTCTCCTCTCAGGCATCCGCGCCCCACGAGAAGAACGAGGACACACGCGCACATACACGCATTTTGACGCGTGTGCTTTTGTCATGAAGAAGCCAACCGTTGCTGTTGACTTGGAGGCATCTCTCCGTGCGTCATTTCCGTCGCGCCGCGATTTTTTCACAACCGAGGATGCCACCCGTGCGCTTGCTTATTGCACGGGAGCATCATTTTGGGAAACGTCTCTGGTGGTGGACATGCGTCAGTCACACCACACCATGGAACAGATGCAAGCATACGCGACGCGAATAGCTGGGGGAAGGCGGGGAAATGGTGAGGAGGGCCCCCGCATGACAGCGATGCTGCCGGGAATTCAGGACTCACATGGAGGCAAAGAAGCCGCGTGGGAAAGTGGCGACGGTTCGGTCCGCTCCCTGCCCGTCAAGCCGTGCGTGGAGCGAAACAGAAAGACATGCAAGCAGTTTTGGGAAAATGGTGCGTGCAAGTTTGGTTCACGGTGTCTCTATCATCACTTGGCACCCTCGCAGGGGCATTTGGCTGACCCGAGTGTGACGAAGGCATCCCTCGGCCACTGTTTTGGCATCGCGAACCGATGCGTGGAAGAGCTACCAAAGCCCAATGTCTCTGGCG